GTGGCACTGCCATGTTATAAATGCATTCTGATTTTAACACTAGTTAATTTTATTATAGTTTTTATTAGTATTGCATTGTACATTATAATTATTTCTATTTCAGGCTTTTACTTTTACTTTTTAGTATAAGCCTTCAACTGCTCATTGTCCTTGAATTTTTAATTATTTGTTCCTTTTTGTCAATTTAAGTTGTAAAATCCGTTATTATTATTAAGACAGTAACACTTTGAGATAAGTGTTCCTCTTGTATCTTTAACACTTCCTATAGAGTATGTGCTCAGTGCTTTTGTACTGGGCCAAAGTCCCTATACTATAATAGTACATGATCTTGAACCAAATTTTGCCAAAATTGAAAAGGTGAGAATTCTTCATTTTTCTAGTTTTTCTGATGTGTATACATGTTCTTATACTGTGTAGAAACTCAGGCAGGAATGGGGCAAAGTACATTTAAAAGTACTTAATACTTTGCTAAGTACAACTAAAAGTACATATGCTTTTTTAGTAAAAGTACTTAAGTACTGTACAAGTGAAGTACTACGAAAAGTACAATTAATGAACCACTTTTATTAAATAAATTTGTGCATGTTGGTTGTTTCAATGAATAAACATTATTATACAGATTGTTGTATAACACTATAAGAGAGGCAAAATGCATGAGTACAGCAGGGGCTGCGTAGCATGTACTGATGGTGCTGCAATTGCCATGATGTTGATATAAGCATAAGGTTCTTATATACAAAAATCAGATACTTGTTCTGTCACATGCTATGATGTAACTAAAAACAGTAAGTGCTTCAAAGTACTGAAGTACCACTAAGTACTTACTTTGTAAAGTACTTAAGTATAAATACAAGTACAGGAAGTTAATGCAAAAGTAAAAGTAAAAGTTAATGTAAAAGTACTGTACTTAAGTACAAGTACCAATGTACTTCGCCCCATTCCTGGTAGCAAATTTATGAATTTTTAAAGTTGCTCAAAAATCAGGTGAAAGTCCCTTACTATAGTACAACTTGCCCCCATTAGGTACCTTGTATCTACGCTGCATTGAGTGTGTGAGCTTTGAGAAGTAACAGGATATGGGGCAATCTCAGCTCCTTGAAACTGAAATGACAGGTTTGGATCATCATCCATTAATGAATCAATGATGTCTCTGCATCAATAAAAATGACATGATCAATAAATTTAAAAACAATTTCTGAATCTTTTTCTTAAACTTCTGCTGATCTATCTAATGCACATTGCACGGATGCTTTTCACTACAATGTATCATACTGGTATTGCTCAGAATAAGGACGAGATAGTCTCATCAATATAAAGAGAACTCAATGATTATTCATATATTGAAATATTAATGAGCTCTCTTTCAGTTTATAGATATCACATCATTGCAATACTTAATATTATAATGTATTATGTATCATTCCTCTTAATCTTAGCCAGTAATCTATTGTTCTTACTTCATACTGTCTGATCCAAATTCAGATAAATATAGTCCAGACTGGAGCTCCTCAGCTAAGCCAACGTCTTAAAAGTCACCACCCATTTTGATGCCATTGCCATTGCAGCCTATTAGCTACCAAGAGCTGGGTTTAAGAACCACAACAATTACCTGTAGCTTATAATCCAACCAGCAGATTCAAGCTTTTGTTGATTAAGATATAATCCATGTGATTACACGTGGTCAGACCTCTTCCAAGGGCGTGTACAACCATAGATATCTCTAGCTCTATGCTCTATGGTACCATAGATACATATGATGGTACAGTACAACAATGGACGCGTCGACATCCACTAAAGGACCACCGGAAATATTATATGTAGATGATGTGTATCCTAGC